CGGCCGAAGTCGCCTCCACGTGGTGCGCCCCTTTGTCCGCGTCCCCCCGCGAAGCCAGAGCCTCCTCCTCCGCGGCCTCCACCGCTAGATCCCGTCATGGATGGAGCGATAGAGGCCGTAGGATTGACCGCTGAGCCTGTAGGTTGCGCGCCGCGGCCAGGAGCTGGGCTTCCTCGGCCTGCAGGGCTGCCAGCACCGCCCCGTCCGCCGCCGCCTCTGCCTCGGCCACCGCCGCGGCTCTGCCCTCTGTTGCTCATACTGTTAGTAATGGGAAGATTGACTAGGAACCTGAAGGCTTTGGTTAGTCTGGTGCTGCTGTGTGGTGGAGGGCGAACGCAGAAATCGATAGCCGGCGATAATACGGCAAAGGCGATTTACGAAAGCTGCGGAAGCGCTGATGAGGCCGTGCCAGCGATGATGAAGGCCGTGCAAGCAGATGTAAGCTTTCGCAAGCAAGAACAAGCATCTAGCGTCATTTCCAGTGCGCTGGCTAATTAAGCGAGGCTATACAAGGAGCTTCGCTCTCACGATCATCGCGCCCACCGTTTACAAGGATGGTTGCGGAAGTCATGATAAGTAGATTCAAATCATTTAATTGTGTTGAAATTCGTTGCGGAGAAGGATATGGCATTTGCGACGACAGGACCGCAGTTAACTTGCAAATAGTAAAGCAATACGGCTTGTTTTTCCGTGTTGTCCAACAGCCTCGAGGAAATTTCTATATATAGATATCATCTTTCGGCGTTGACCGTGGCCACAGCGCAGCCACAACGCACAACCTCGCATCTACAAGCATACGGCGGAGCATCTCGTCTAAGGATAGTTACTCAGAGGCATCGTCCTACTCCGATCCATCATGTACCAACTGCAGATGCACCCTTACATCATCCTTGCTCCCAAACACCATCCCACACGTCCTGAACGGGCACTCATGCTCCCGCAAATGCATTCTAATGACATGTCCCGGGACACGGCGGCGCTCCATGTAATCCCAACGCGCGCATTCCGCCCAGCGGCATACGATGCGCTCCGAGCCGAACCATCGCCGGCCCTCCGGATGCGCCTCTGTGAAATGCGTGCGCACACTTTCGAGGTCGCGAGCGGCAATCGTACCAGTGCACGAGTCCCAAAGGCAGCGTGCGAGATCGGGAAGGGCCTTCGGGGAGGGGATTGCTGCGCCACCCGATTCGCGTTCTTCAGGAGATGCGATGAGCTCCAGTTCCGGTTCTGATTCTGATTCTGACTCTGAGGCATTGTAGTCGTTGTTAAGAGGCAGCTCGGAGACCTGCAGTGCATCGACGAGCATGGGAGTGCTCGTGTTCTTACCTGGATTGTCGTTCTTGGCTGACTTCTCCAACGGAAACCACCATGACGTGCGCACGAATAGCTCATTCATACCTTTGCGCGCCACAGCCGACGGATCCAGATGGTCTGCTACAGCCCGCATGTACCGGTAGATCGTCTGCTGGTCGTCTGCGGAAAATCTTGGGGAGCCCAACGGTGAGCTTGATGGAGGGACGTCGCCTGTGTCCATACTTGTTTCGAAGCCGCCTCGTAGGCGGGACGCTTGTCCAGAAGTGTGTGTATCTTGATGAGGACCTTGGCTGCGTAGTAAATTCATCCTGGGAGCTTGGTGGGCACGGGTAGGATCTACAGGAATGAATCTTAATGCCTTTTGAGGGGACGCAGGGGGTCGTGCAGAGTTATTCCGCGTGTGAGGGGTATCCTGGACTTGGAACGTGTTCGTAGGGGGAACTAAGAATGCGCTTGGACATAACCCATAAGAAACAGGCGTGATGTTCACTGAGCCGCTATATGGGGTGTAAGCCGGGACTATATTATGGTAGACGGGGATGCTCGTGTCTACGATTGCTGAACCGTAAGAGACACTTCTGCTAGAGGCAAAGTTCGAGGGATGCTGACCGGCTAGTTGGGTAGTCGCATTATATGCGTCGGTAACTGCACTCGCACCAGCAGTAAAATAGGGAGGATTGTGAGAGGCGGTCATCAATGTGGTCCCTTGTTTCGCATCAAACGCTGCGCTCCTGCGAAAAGCGGTTTGAAGAGCACTGTAGGATCTATGGCGTAGGATAACGCCTTGTAAGTCAAGGCTGTGGACGGTAAGGCAGGCACTCACGACGCTGTGTCAGCTTGGACAGAGTAACACCCTTGAGCCGTGTCTATGTAGGATGGACCGTAAGAGGTGCTGCTGAACGCGCATCTGTCTACTGTCAGCTCAAGAAGGAGGCCCGAAGGCGAACACGGTCAGCGATGTACACACGCTTGCATGTTTCCCCAAAGGAGAGACTGCGCCGCTAAGAGCTAAGGGAGATGCAGCAGTATTAAGCAGCGAGCTTTGAGTCCATGCAGGCTGGCAGCTCTCTGGCTACTGGACTACGTCAGAATGGATTGCCGATAGTCTGATCGACAATTGTTGCAATATCGAGTTTGCAGAGATCATCTCAAAGCGGGCCAAGATCAGTCATGAACCGAAGATCCGAGTGCACAGCAGAACACAACGAAGCAGAAAACACAGGACAATATCCACACCGTTGCACGACGTGCCAGCTTCGTGAAATGGATCAAATCGCAAACGCGACAATGGTCAGAGAGCGTTTGTTTGCCCTTGTTGTCCATGAGCTTTGACTAGATCGACTTATCGGGAAAGCTGCCGCGGCGTCTAATGGGCCGCATACTATTATTATGTCAGTTTACTGTCAATCATTGTTTACATTTTTGTGAGCTAACACTCCATAACAAAAATATACGAGATTACGGAAGCATCTTAGATTCTATTCAAGAAACCATCCGTGCGAAGTTGATAAAGGCGGACTGACTCTAATTTCGACGTGATCTTCCTCATGGGTGCTGTCATCGCGACTATTCGCCACTGCTGCTGCTACTGCTACTTCCGCTCCCCTCTCTTCTATTTTTCCTGCCATTTGTCAGTGTCTGTTGTTCACCAGGTGCCGGTGTGGGAAGTGACTCGCCCGCATGCTCAAGCTTGACTTCCCGATCACCCTCGCCACGTTTGATGGTCCAGAAGCCTAGATAGTATTTTATGAATATAAGCTGACTAGCAGAAAAAGAGTTAACAAGAGGGAATTCACCGGAGACTGCACCAAACCATGCACCGAAGACGCAAGCCCACGTTCCGAGGATGAGCAAGAAGTGAAGGATAGGCACAAGCGGTGGTAATACAAAGGCAAGGAGGTCTGCAGGGTGGTAGAAGTCCTCCTGCGCGACAATCACGTAAAGTGGGCGTGCGTCTTGGGAGCGCGGACTGACTTTGCGGAGGTTAAGGTGCGTAATGAGCCTGGCATTCAATGATATGCGCATTATTTCAATCCTTTAAAAGGATAGCGCTCACCTCGACTGCGCTGGCGGCAGAGGGTTCCACCGGATGTGGAACGTCTGCACAACATCGACATAGATCTCCATCCGCGGTTCATCCCACACGACCTTCCTCACCTCCACTTTCAAACGCGGGGACATCGTTCGGTACCACTGGTACACGCACAATATCGTCTCGCGGCTGCTCGCGGTCGCGATCCCGGTCGGCGAGAGTTTGCGCGAGAGTTGTGTCCATCGGGCAAACGATGGTGAGGACTGCGATGCAGGGTACGGCGTGTCGGCGTCGGAGGGTACGGTGCAAAGCGGGTGGCGGAAGGACGCGTCGGGAGCGAAGTAGCGCAGGATGGCTGCCTTTTGAGCCTCGGGGTTGACGGCGGAGGTAATGGAGAGTATAACGTCCTCGATATCCCTTGCGGGGTCTTCCATGTTGATTGGTGGGCTGCTCGTCGTCGTCGGCAATGCGTTCGAGAGGAGAGTACTTGGCTTTTGCGTACGTGTTATACCTTAAGCCACAACTCGATATCACATGCCTCCATACTCGCGCGAGACGCGTGATGACGTCACCGATGACGTCACGCGTTGAGTTGACACCCCTTCCAGCATCGCGTTAAATGTATTAATGACCTTGGCCTCCTGAAGTGGCAATGAATACTTGCCTGATACAACGTGTTCTATCTTTTTGTTAAGCAAGCGTTGTCAATAATTGCTTACCATTTTCTGCGATGATCATCACAGTAAGCCTGTCTAGTTATATATCAAAGCGTGGCATGATACGTCATGTCTCCACTACTCGATTCAGATCATTGTCTTCGTGACGCTCCTCTACAGTGCTTGGGCCAATTCCTTCATGAATCTTCTCCGTGCCCTCAAGCGTCCTTCATCAACCAAACTCAGGTACCTTCCGATTACCCTCCAGCTCCTTTCACATTCCTCACTGTTTCCAAGAAGTATGTCCGCGCTGGACGCCGAGCGCAGGAACATCGACCTCTTCCTGCAAAGCATCGTCTCCACAATACAAGATCATGACGTCAAGGCACTCTTGTCGCCAATGCCTTTCCTCCGGCTCGTCTTTAACTCGATATACATCCTGATCCAGGCACTTATTATCTGGCTGTTTAAACCTGTGAGTCACGCGCAATCAATTTCTATCAACGATGTTACTGCTGCCAAGTCGCATTTGTGCACGCTGCCAGACCAGCGATATCAGGGCTCGAGCGCACATATCGTACGGCGATGGGCGAGCCGGAGTTCACGCTTGCGCCCTTGGACGTGAACCGCATATAACGTGTTGACTCCCAGTCGTTGACGAAGTCCAGATGTGGCTTGGATATCCTTCACCCAACAAGACCAGTACTGGTGGTGAGAGATAGCGTTCATTTCTGCGGCGCATCTCACTCACAGCGACGGGTGGCGGCTCTGATACTGGTCTGGTGCATTATGGTACTCGTGTTACCACCTGAAAAAGTGGCTATACGCGCCATTATCTGTATGCACAGTGTCATACGCAGAGTGTGCTCATGGTATCCAGTGACCAAACGTCGTGCGCCGTTCCTATCGCTGATATCGAAATTCATGCTTCAGCCTCCGCCACCGGACAAGGATGCCCACATTCATTATCGCGGTCGCATCGCCGTGATTGGGGCCGGCCTCACAGGCGTGTCGAGTGCAGCGCATGCCGTCGCGCATGGATTCGACGTTGTTCTCTTCGAGCAGGACGATGCAGTTGGTAAGCGTCGCTATATGCGTGTTGTCGCCGGCGGACTGGGTTGAGCACCACACAGGAGGGATCTGGGCACACGTGAACAAGACCTCTGGACTACAGCTGAACTCGATGCTGTACCGCTTCCACCCTGCCGTGCTGTGGTCGAGCGCGTTTCCCAAAAGGGACGAGATCCTGCGTGGTGCGTTAGGAACAGTCGATGTTATGAAACTACGACTCACGATGTATGTCCGTCTGCAGAGAATCAACGAATCTGGAGAGAGTATAGACTAAAAGAGCGCACGCGGCTCTCGACGCGCGTCACGTCCGTCCGTCGTGCGACGCTCGAGGAGCTCGATAACGTCTCCGAAGGTGAGCTCCCACATAGTCATTCCCTCCCAAGGAATCGTTTGCAGACAACGAGCCAGATGAACTGGACCCTGCACAACAGGGCCACGCGCGGTGGATCGTGAATGATGGCGAGGACGACGTGTTCGACGCGGTCGTCGTGACGGTCGGGACGTGCGGCGCGCCACGGTGGGTCGGATTCAAGGGCATGCCGCCGATGGAGTACATCGAGCGTCGCCGGACGCAGAGCGAGCACGCCAACGCGGGGAAGCAGAAGCAGAACAGCACGGACGACAATGAAGGACTTCAGCACGATGAGGAAAAAAGCGAGGTTGGGAGTGAGAGCGGGCGCTCAAACACCCAGGAGCCTTACCCGCCTGTGAAGCACACGCAGGACGACGGCGAGAGCGTCAGCAAGGAAGACTTGCAGAAGAAGAAGAAGAAGAAGAAGAAGAAGAAAGGCAAGAGCAGAGGCAATGACGAGCAGGAGAAAGGAGATGAGAATGTGGAGACGTTTGAGGGAACGCTCCTGCACTCATCGCAGCTGGACGACGCAGAGCTCGAAGGCAAGCACGTCGTCGTCATCGGCAGTGGCGCGAGCGGCGTCGAGGCGATTGAGACGGCTCTGCAGAGGGGAGCGAGCGATTGTGTGATGATTGCGCGGGATGACAAGGTTCGTGGGCGAACGCTGCTTAGCGATAATGCTATAGCTTAATCGGAGTGTGTGCAGTGGATCATCCCGCGGAACGTAGTCTTGGGTACATTGATCTCCGCGCAGCCGTTTGGGAGAGAGATGCCACTCAGGTAAGCTGGTAATGAACTGTTGGATAGAAGTACTCTGAGGGTGCGATTCACAGCTTTGTCTGGGAGAAGATCGTCACGGCGTGGAACTACCACGGGGTCGAAGACCTCACACCTGCACACCTTGGGCTGTTCGAGGGCACGCCTGTGGGTGGCTCGCATCAACTTGTCCTTTGCGCAGATTACCCACTGGACAGACTTATGTCAGGTGGTGAATGACGAGTTTCTGAGCCATATCCGCGCGGGCCGGTGCCGCTACGTCCGCGGTGACACGCAGTGTCTCACAAGAGACAGTGTGCGCGTCAGCGTGCGGGGACGGTGGAGCCGACCAGGGGATGAGGGCGAGGAGACGGAGGTGAGTGTGTTGTATTCCGTGATGCATGCGCCTGGCAGGGTTAACTGACATCGCGCGGCGTACATAGTTCCCTGCAGGCGTGGTTGTCCTTGCGACCGGGTTTAAGAAGCCGGACATTGCGTTTTTGCCGAAGGATTTGTTCCCAGAGGGGTACGAGGTGCGGTAGCAAGCGCCATCGTGAGAGCTTGTTGGACTCACGAGGCTGGGATCCACAGAGGCCGAACCTGTATTTGCAGAACTTTGCCACTGAGGACTGGAGCGTCCTCATGACGAATTCGGCATACATTAGCGCAATCGGTGAGTATCACGTCTGAATTGCCGGTGGAGGGACACTGTGCTGAGAGGCAACGATATACAGGTACTGTGTAAGTGTGCGGAACAACGCAGGCTGTTGTATGCGGAGCTGATATTTTGTTCATTTTGCATCTCCTGCGCAGCGGACATTTGTGAGTCTAGCGCATTTTCACTCATTGATGAGAATTCATCATAGCCTTCTCGCTGCAGTCACATCGGCATCTGTGAGTCGCAACATCTTTTATGACCGAGCATTTCATTCAACTTGCCCCAGACATGCGCATTCTCCTGACTTTTCTCATGGACAAGGACTCGCGTCCGACGCCAAAGGACATGAAACTCTGGGTAGATGCGTTGAGATTCGTCAAACGCGGCGCACGCGGAGGCGCCCTCGGGTTCTTCACATATATGGAGCTCAGTCAGTGTTTGCTTTCCTTTTTTGTACCGTAGTGAAGTTTTGCTAACGTTCTGTGTCATATAAAGCGATCTGGCTTGTGCTCTTTCATATCTTCCGACTGGACAGGCTGAAATGGTGCGTGTCCTGCTTTACTAGTGTCGAGTGCCGAAGTGATTGACGTATTGCGTGGTTACGTAGGCTGTTCTTCATCATGCAAGGATGGGGAGTGCGTCCTGTTGTGCAAGGAGAGAGAGCAGAGTGCGCCGATTAGCGGGGTGGATACGAAAACGCGTAGGTGAAAGCTGGATGAGATGCGACAGCGGTTCGGTATGTTATTGTACCATGAAAAGTTGGTGTATGATTAAATGATTGGACTTCACAAGTCGGGGCCCTCAGGGAACGGTGATGTCTGCACAACCGCTAGCCTCGGTTGAGATTGGTTCCGGAATTGTCGCGCTTGGTGGACGCAAACCCGCAGCGCGTTTAACGTTTACAGATATTGGAAGCAATTTATGTACCTTTGCTGGCGCGCATCACCAGAGACTCCGCTCGCGAAGATAAATTAGCCAACAATTCCTGTTCTTGAAATCGCCAAATTTTGAACTTGCATCCTGGATAGTTATGCTTTCGTAGGCATAGCTTCGGAATTGGACTGATGATTTCCTTACCAGCAGTCGAACAATTTCTCAAGATCCTGACTTCCTGGCATCGTAGTCTAGTGCTCAGTGTCGCTAACATTGATTAGTGAAAGATAATTTCGTTCTTCAAGGACCGTCTGAGCTGCGTAAGCACCGGAATGATGAAGTCAAAGAAACGCCCGGCCTCGTCGAGTGAACTGGCAGGCGCATTTTGATGGCAAGGTGTCAACCTCTCACTTACACTTGGGAGCTGGAGCTTGGAAGCGATATCGAACGTCACGCGTATCCTCGCGATCACTCGCCCGACTGTTGAGAACGTTGAGTCTCGTCGCACCACACAACAAAGCTCTTTGTCAACGCTTTTATTCCCTTGCAAACCATACATGTCCTCTGCCAGTCTGTTCGTTCTAGTCCCGGTCCCCGCGTCCTAAATCGCGCAACTACAAGTCAGTTCTTTGCTCGGATGCTCAGGAGCACTGTAGGGAATTACCGTCGTTCAATCCTCGGCTGAGGCAAAGGAAGCAATCGTCAGATCGCAGACTGAGCAAGGAGAGCACAGGGCACGTACAATATGTCTCTGATTCTTTCGAGGGGGTCTTGAGCCTTGATGTTCAGTCCTTGATTCTTGAGCAAGTTCGGGCGAGTCTGCGGGGGAACGTGAATCAGAGGGATAATGGCGTGATTGGAATGGATGTAAGAACACCAGCCTTGCCTTGAGATTTTTGTAAAACAACCTTGAGCTTTCAATTCAGGATCTGGGGTCTTGAGGATATGTAAGTCCGGGCTCTGAGCGGTAACTCAATATTGAGAACAGCGCATGGCAGAAATGGTCGAAATCGTTCTGCAGCACGAACCTTCTCTCCCTTCGGACATCTTTACCTTCTCCGGCGTAGGCAGCTTGTCAAGAGGCCGAATATCGTCCAGCATCCAAGCGAAAGGCAAGCGACGGAGGTAAAAAGCATGTCTCTGCTGCTTGTCAGCCGTCATATGCAGGCAACGGGACAATGGCTTTGATGAACGTCGGGATTTCCGTGGTATTGAGTCTGCCTAATGCGCTCTATCTCTCCACGTCCACGAAGGGCGGTACTCGAGCCGTTGGTTGTGGCAACCCCGAAGACGAGCATTGACGCAGAATGAAAGCTGAGAACCGATTTATACGAACATCGCTGGACGGTAAAGGAGCCGTCCATCGGTCTGCAATGTCCATCAAAGTTGCAGAGACTGGAAGAAAAGAGATGCTTTGCGATCTCGCAGGCTTGTCCATCTTACGGTAGACCACAAGAGACGATGAGCGTCCATGTGCATAATAGACTTTTTACATGTAAGTTGGACTTGCCACCGCAGCTGTGAGACCTCGTCGGTTTATCGCTGTCTCCTGCCGACGGCACAGATGCGTCCATGCAGGCGAGAGCATACGCGTCATAACAGGCCGGTAGCCTTCGTGACAGAGGAGATTCGAACGAATAGGTCGCCGTGGCCGCTCGTTCGGATAGGAGATATCCTCAACTTATATGGAGGGCTGGAGGGACTTCGATCGGCCGGGCTGCCTTGTGCGCGATTTCCGGTCACGTTAAACGCAGGAGTAAGCGGGTTTGGCGAGAACTTGCTGAGGAGATGATGCTGTTTGACAATAGTCATCACGGTCAAAGCCCATGGGCGTATGATATCGAGGGCTAGCAACGGGGACACTTCAGAGTCGAACATGGCCATGGCAGGACAGTGGCGCGTCGAGGGCTAAGCAGAGCGGATTTCCAGCAAATCGCCAGGCGAAACAAAGTAAGGGTGGACAGAGTACGTATGCAATGGTAAATTATTAGAGCTTCGTCGCAGCGATTAGAAACTCGTTTCGAGCAGGCGTCGCCACTCGTGGAGTGTGGCTATTCGCATGCGAGCGGTGGCGCTACGAATCGAGCGCATGATCTGCGCGACGACCTCCATGCCACCAGCCACCTCTGCTTGCTCAACAGCTCGACGGTCGTCCCACATGTCGTGGAAACACCCAGAAAAGGATTGCTGAAGACCGACTGGATCTGTCTCGAAAACGTTCTCTGGTCCCATCTTTGTCGAGCTCGTCAATAATCCTCGACGGACTTTGCGGTTAAAATGTTCTCTGAGGTCGATCGACGGCTTCTAGGATCTCCTTTTCAATTCCATAATCAAAAACAAGGCTGGCATGAAGCCCACGCGGGCGCTACGAATTTGAGGTGTTGTCGACATGAGCGGACTCCGGAAGCGACTTGAACCTCTGCAATCACCGCGTACGGTGCAGCGGCCTGTGCTACTCGCGCCTCCCACGACAATGCTGCCAGAAGAGATGTATCGACGTCTCATGAATGAACAGCATGAGGAGCGTATATTTTTGCGCGAGAGTCGTGAACGACGGTCTTCGACGTCGTTCACCATCGAGACAGACAGAGGTATGTCCTGCTCGACCCGTACAGTCTCCCCCTCTTTCAAAAGGTATCTGCGCGGTTTGGATATGATGGCAAAGAGTGGAATGCGACGCGATTGTCCTTCGCATCGCGTATCCAGATGTGGAGCTGAAAAGCATCTCTACGACATGCTGTAGCGCGTCTCGCGCTGGCGCTGGACGCGAGGCCGACTGCCTCAAGCATCTTGCATCTTCAGCCTAACGTATCTCAATAAAAGGTGCCATCCGAGCGTCGTCTTGCTAGCTTGGAGGATGGTGTTAATGGCCATCTTGTCTTGCCAGTGGGGGCTGAAGTTTATCGTATGCCACATAGGTTTCTTGATGGTCCTTCATCTACTTATATTGCCCACGAGGACGATACATGGAGCCACACAATATATGAATTAATCCATCCATCAATTAATGGAGTAACGGGCCACAAACCGTATGGGCGTTTGCAGAGGTGGCCACCTTGTGATGTGACATCCCGTCACCCGTGACAAAATGTTGGTCGGTGCTCCCCCTCCTGCAGAGAGGTCGTTATGGGGCGGAGTTTGTTCTACGAAGCAGAACGATTAGTTGGGAGGCATGATTCAATGTCTCACCTTGATATTCCGAGGTGTCCTATATGGAGATCCGCATTGATGAGATGATGACTCGATGAGGCCGATGGGCTTCTGTGGAGCGATATGTTATCCACAACGAGTCGACTGCGCGAGTTGAATCACCCACACAGTCTCTATGGTGGGCCCACAAAACTTGAGGACAGATCCTGACCATCGTATGGTCCATTAGCTGCGCCGTCGGGATGCCAAGCGCACGACTCACAACAGCATTTGCACCCTCTAATTTCGCTGCCGTTGAATCTATTGACGGTTGATCCTCTTGCATTCTCCAATAGACTCGATACGTGCGTTGACCGTTCAGGATTTTTGAAGCCGGAGCAAGAGGTAGCAGGTGAAGACAAAGTACCGCGCGACATTGTTCGCGGGAGCATTTTAAGGGTTGCGGAGGAGCCGCGGGAACAAAATAAGGGCGTCGCCTCGTTTGGCTGTGCGCCGCTTCAATACACGCCTTTCCCTGCGCGCAAAAGCCAAGTTCGCTGCCCCTGCGTAATTCTCTGCTCTCGTTGGACGCTACACAATGATGGATCCTCGACGGTCTACACCCTCGGATTGCTCCAACGCACCTATTGCACTACTTCAAGGTACTAATTGAATGTCCCCCGCCGTTCCAGAATCACCGCTTGCCGGGCTTGAACACAGATGCTGTAGCCACATCATTTATCAGCTCCGTCTTGACTGGTCGCAACTCTGAGCTGCAGCCGACTTGCTTGACGGATTTCGTGCGCTGGAATACCGGATCCTGCGTCTGCTCTGCTGCCGTTCAAGTCGACGAGAAGGAGACCTGTTTAACTCGATGACAAAACCTCTTCACTTGTCGAGACGGCGCGTGTTTGTTTTCTGACTCTGCCGTTGATTCCTTCAGCTTCTTCCTGAGCGGCGGCCGACTATTCTGATGCTTCACGCTGGAAACGCCTGCTACGGAGCTTCCCGTCAATGCCGTTGTCAATTTGGAACTTTGAGTACCGCTTGTGAAGGTTGAGACGGCTCCATCTAGAGCATCGCCCGGGGTTCAATGTTGTCGTGAGCCCGGACACATACCTCGCTGGCAGCTGGCAGAACGGAAGGATTCTCTCCTCTCCACCGTCATCGCTGAATTGCTCCGAACAGTTCCTGTGAGTGTCCCTTCTCCCTTCTCCGACGAACGCTAGTCGGTGCGTATCTTCTATAGTGATTTGCAGTAATCCAACAGCCGATTGATAAGACACGTATTGTATCGAGCTAGCCTCTGGACTCGATATTCAGAATCGTTCCTTGTGCGATTCACAGTTGGATGCGACCTGGATGAGTGTCGCGTTGAGGTTTGCAAATTCATGATGCAACCGTTAGTTGCAGAGGCTTCGTTGAGAACGTTGGCGGACAAATTTCTCTATATAGTGAGCCGCGCACCTTCTCTTGATTCCATGGCCATTGACTCAAGGTCTATGTGCGGCATCGCCTGGAGTTCAATGTTGTCGTGAGCTTGAGCACGTACCTCTCTGGTAGCTCGCAGAACGAAAGGAGTCTTTTCTTTCCACCGTCATCGCTGGATTGCTCCGAGCAGTTCCTGTGAGTGTCCCTTCTCCCTTCCCCGACGAACGCTAGTCGGTGCATATCTTCTATAGTGATTTGCAGTAATCTCACAGCCGATTGATAAGACACGTATTGTATCGAGCTAGCCTCTAGACTCGACATTTAGCATCGTTCGTTGTGCGACTTGCAGTTGGATGCGACGTGGGTGAGTGCCCGCGTTGACGTTCGCAAGGTCGCGATGCATGCGTCAGCTGCAGAGTCTTCGTGAGAACATTGGCGGACAAATTTCTCTACATAGTGAGCCGCACAGCTTCTCTTGAATCCATGAACATTGACTCAAGGTCGGCCTAGTTTGAGATCGTGATTCAAGATTGCTTGCTTTGCTCTCGACTTTTGATGGGTGGTCTTCTTGTTTGCGATGTCTCTGCATCAGCTTGCTTTCGTTCGCGTGCGGTGCGCAGTATTCATTCCATGTCATAACTTGCTAGACGTTTATGCGACTCGTTTGCTTTTTCTGAGCTTGCTTGATATAACAGGGCGTTCAATGTCTTTCTCGTGCGGTGGACTCTCGAATGGATCGACGAGGCAGTTACGCTCGCTATCCAAAGTTTCTGATTCTTTGCAATGGTCTAATGCATAGGTTGGCACATTGCTGCTTCGGTATGTTCTTCATGCACGCTTCGCATCAAATGTCCTAACGCCGTGAACATTGCAGTGCTGACGATGTTTTCGGGAAGTGATCATTGCACCGTCTTGCTCTGCCTCGATGTCTTCTACCTGCACACACAGCGAGACTCGCTTTGCTTGACGGTCTTGAGCGTTGTGACAAACTCGCACAAATTCAGTGCAGTCACGCTATTTCGCCCCCAATTCAAGTAGATACTGAGAGGTCACAGAGCAGGCTATGATATTGATTCCTCGACGCTAACACACACGCCATCATATTGAGCTCTTTGTGCAGCTCGGCAGCGCGCTAATAGCACTTCACATAGATTGAACTTCAAGACCGATCACTTTCATGAACTTGAACTTACCATGCAGCGAGTCGCTGGTACCGTCTTGCGCACGATCATCAACGCTAGACCATAGACCTATGTTAACGTCAATCTATATATTAGTCGGACAGGTGGCGCATTGTGAGACAGTCATTGGAGAAGTTTGTGCACTAGCGGCCCGTGCGCTAGAGAGAGTCGAAATATGAAGGTCACAGCAGTCTGAGACCAGAGCCATGTATACTGGGGACAGTAGGAACGCGGATAAGATGAAGGCGGACGCAACGTGTTGCATACAGCAATACAGTATCTACTCTGTCTATCATACATCTAAACACCCGGGCCCGCACGCTCCCACTCCCGTCTCAGCATCTCCGCCCACGCCATCACGAAATACACGATCCCAGCGGGGAGCACGCACTTGCGTCCAACCGCGCCCCAATCCCAGCGCCGCCTCCTCAGCCGCATCCACTCCTCGCGCATCCCGCTCGCCCGCGCAAGCACCGACTGGCGCAGCGGCGACGGCTGTCCCACCACCCCAGCCGAACGCGACCTGTCGGCTTCGGCGGCGGCTGCGGGTGCAGGCGGTGCAGGCGCGGGCCCGATGTTGGACGTCACCCAGAGCTGGATGCTCCGGCTGTAGCACGTCGTCGTCCCGATCACCGCCCAGCAGAGTGCCGGGCGCGCCTCGTGGTTGAGCACCGAGAGCGTGAGGTGCGTCGCGGGCCAGCAGATCGCTGTGTATCCGAGCGTCAGAGCGAGGAGCGTGCG